ACTCGCATCCATGCCAAAAGCAGTTCACAAAATGCATGTGTTGAGGAAATGGTGGGGAAGGGCCAGTGGTCTACCTTTCAGTGTCATGGGTACTTTGTGTGGGTCGTTATCAGCACAAAGTACACACAGCCCCCCACACCCCACCACCACCACCACCAGCTTGTACATCAGATTCAACAGAATACAGCACAATATGCAAAGCCTAGCTCAGCAGGGTGGTTTTGCTCAGTTGCTCTGGTCATCTTTCGTGTGGCTTCTTGTCATTTGAATGGTCAACAGTCAACATCACAACAGAAGCAAACCACGGCAAAGGGCATTGATGCGAAAACGAGATTGCAGGAGGCAATGCAATCTGGGTGTGCCCCCTTTGGGCTTCAGAAGATGTGTACCTGTCAATGGAGATGCACAGGACAAAGCTCAGCTCCATCCGGAGCAATTGTTGACCTGATAAATTTCTGCATCCAGCAAAGGCCCAACCTGGATGCCAGACAAATGTATATGTCATTGATTGTTGCTGGGTATGGACTGCACATCCTTTTTGGAACAGGAGGCCAACGGTGCTATTCCGCAAAATTGCACTTGTGCAATTGTCACAGTCCACCGCCCTTGCACCTTTGAGGCGATGGCAGACATGAGCAACGCTGTGCATATTCATCCAGACCCCAGACAGAATTTCAACCTCAGGAGCTGGCCTCGAATGGTTCCGATTCCCACTGGCATCGGCAGGCAGTGCCCCCTATCCTACGCCCTTTTTGGTTCACAAGGGGGACATCCTGTACATGTGCCTTCCTCCCATCTTGATGACTTGCAGGGGACCTGTGGAGCATGCACATCCCAACACAACGTTTTGTGAAAAGAAGCACGTTGTCCGTTTTGCAGACAATGGCAGTGTGTAGTTTCAAATCCTAGCCGTTCACCCTCCTGGGCGATGGGCCAGCATGGGGACACCAGCCGCAGGTGGGACCAGATCAGCTGACCGGTTGCCGCACCCCATAGTATTGAGGCGGACACCCCAAGGGAAAACAGGAGCGATGGTGAGTGTGCGGGGAGAAGGCCCACTGTGTCTTCTCTGGTCTAGGAAAACCGCGCCCAGCTCTCGCATCCCTCTAACACCTCTTGCATCACGTGCATCACTTGCAGCTCTTGCATGCTTCGATTCCCCCTATAAAAGGCAGAGCGGCGCCGTAGGCGGCGGTGGCACCTCGTGGCTGCCAGCACTCTTCCAATAATACACAAAGAATTGACAGAATAGAACAGCAGCCATTGGCACACGCGCATCACAAGCAGAACGTGAAGGAGGCGTGCCGGACATCCTCCGCTATCGAAACTCAAGGGCCTCAGCGAGACGGCAGAGGCGAGACCGTCCCACTGTCTCAACTCAGGCTGCTGCCCATTCGTCCACCTGATGCTCCATGCAACTTCGCGGACTGATCCGGACAGTCCACGACCGCCCGCATTCAATCCGGTCGGCCCCCTCGTCGTGGAGAGTCGGCGTGCGCACGAAGTGATGAGCCAGCCCAGTTGCTCACACACGGACCCAGTTTGGTGATACGCACTGAGGAAGGATATCTGGTTGCTGACTTCAGTGCAAGCCTTGCGCACGCGAGGGCTGACTCAAGGGGGGTCACTCGCGGGGGCCATGCACCCGAACAAGGCAACCGCCAATGCCCCCCAACGGCATCGGGATCGGCAAAGTATACCGTTACTTTCTCGCCTTTTCGGGGGGGATTGCGTCGTTTGGTCGATCAGGGCACCGTTGACTGCGTGTGTGAACTCACGGTCAAGGGGGCAACGCCACGCACACCATGCGCTGAGCCTCTGTCCATACAGTGTCGGATCTGGCAAAGGACATTCGCCTTCGTCGCCTCGAGTGATGGTCCTGTATTTTCCGGCGGCCGTCTCACGCAGGCATACGAGTTGAGGAGGTCGCTCCCTGAGAGCGAGGAGGTGGATTGCTGGATTGCAGCACCTCGCCTCGCGGCCCTGGGTGGCTGCACCAAATCGGTGACCGCTAGCGTAAGTCACGTGCACACTACGTCCTCACCTCTGTTTTAGGGTTAGGTTTAGTCTTAAGATTAATTTTATGGTTAGGGTTAAGGTTTAACTAGGTTACGTTTGGGGCTTCGGGGTTATGGTTTAGGTTAGGTTAGTTTTGGGCGGATTTGGTGGAAGCAGTCACCGATGTGGTGCAGCCATTAATTGTATGCCGATTTTAAGTACTGAAGTTTTGAGCTTTTACATTAGGGACGTCCGTGTCCGTGCCTCTGGCGATCCGTCCCAGACAGTATGAAACCACAACTGTCCCCACAATACTGGAGAAAATGGTCGCGAAACCCTGACCATCTGGTGACTAACGTTGGACGGCCGCTAGGCTTGGCCGCCATCAGCGAATAGTGGGAACGGGGTCAGGAGGTGGCCAAACGTGGTCGTTAACATCAACAAGAGGAAGCCCCCAGGACGTCTGGTTACCCGCTGGCTTTGGCGGAACCGGTTCCACCAAAACCGTAGGCTGCCTCTCGTTGGCCCCAATTTGTGGCACCTGCTACAGCTTAACGCGATTATCACTGAATCTGATTGCAGGAAGCAGTCTTTGTCAACTGAATTTTCAATTTGGATCCAAATGGGCAGAGGCAGGTGGCCATGCCAGCGATGATTGGCCCCTTGCGACAGTGCTGGATAAGATCGCAGCGCGACACCCTTGCGGCGCGGACTGGCACGCTCCAGGTGAGGAAACCATCATAACGTGTGACACTGTGGGATACATCATCAGCGCCATTAGTATGCCGTAGGCCTTCGGGAGGACATTCACAAACCGCTTCGCAGGGCGGTCGACAGCCCGAGGCTCGCACGCGGCAATGGGTAGTGTGTGCACACTCTGGTTGCGTCCCATCGGGGCTTGGGACACGCGGCGTCCGCATTCGGGTCCGAGGGAATGCCCACGCACGAGCCGCCCAAACCGGCGCTGTTACTGCGGCTTCCTGCTCTCCCCTGCTTCACGTTGCAGTGATTGGCAAGACGCCCACGTCTACGCGCAGCGCTAGATGACGGCGCGATGTCGATAACGCAGACGCACGCTCGCATAAGATGCGCTGGGGTCCAACGACGTGTCCGCCCTCCCGTCCTAGCTAGGACGTTACCTATAGGTAACGCGTGCACATGAGTCGCCCAAACCGCCCTTGTCGCTGCGGCACCCTCGCCATGGCCTCTCATGCTTCGTGATGTAATGCTTGATTGGTTGACTGGTAGCCGGACCACCGCTGGCGCGAGCCGGCAGCGCGGATCCGCACAGGTTGCAAGTACTTAGCATGCAGGCCGCTCGGTAGAGTGCACTTAGTACCCCTTGGCGGCACGGGCGGTTCCAGCCCCGCATCCACGTTGTGCGGCGGGATGTTCCGTAGACGCCGCGGCCGAAGGATGGGAGTCAGGGCGAAGATTCCGGTGAAGCCGGCAGCATCTTTCGTCCCCGTCCGTCACATGACAACCACATCCTGCCCCCAATCTGCTTCCCATTGGTGGTCCTTCGCGCCCCAGTCTGGCTCGGCCAGAGCACACCCGGGCGCAGCGGGGCGGGCTTCGCCGCCCAACGCCTCGCATAATTCGTTTTCTAGGCGACGTTCCCCGCACAGCAGCCCCAGACGCGCCTGCGCCAGCGCCGGACGGGGTTACCTCAAGATGCACCCTGCTGACGCAATGCCTACTGCACCCCACACGAGCGTCGCTTCAAGGCGAACTGCCCCATCCTGTCGCGAGGACTTCGGCTCTCTGGTGTCTCCCATGGGTAATTGGATGTGACACTATGCGTCATGCACACCGCCGGTCGCTGCCTGTCCACTCAGCTGGTGGGACGTTTGAGTGAGAGATGCGCCGGAACCGGTCCGAATGTACGGGAACCCGGGACAAGGGCGCCGCCAAGGGAGGAGCCTCTGTGGGTTATTCGGCTGGTATTTCGCGTTGCTTCACAGCGAACTCACATTTACTCGGCGAAGTTGCGCACTCCGGCCCGGGGGGCGGGGGGTATATAAGGCGGCCGCCCCCCAGCTCCAGGCACCAAAGCAAGCCTCTGCGATCTGCACCCCGACCGCGGGTGGACCGCAACAACCGGCCGGTCGAGTTCCATCGGTGCGTAGCCGATTCTTTCAGTCCCCCCTTGTGTGCGAATTGTTGCCATTCGCGTGCCGCATCCACTGCGGGTTGGCGGGATTGTGGCGGCGCGACTCCTTATGGGCGGTCCTGGGATCTGGCCCCTCGGGAGGGGCGTTTGGATTGGGCAGCAAGGCGTTGCGCTGTCTCTCGGTTGGGGAGTCGTGGCGATGGCCGGCCGGCGCTGTACCCATGTTCGGGGGTGTCCGCGTCACCGTTTCCCGAATGACCGATTCCGCGCCGTGTGCCGCGATCCAAAAGGCCGATTCCACGGCTATGACTCTGCGGCGGTCGGCCGCACCCGGCGGGTTTGGTCGTAGCGGGCGGCTCGTGGACTGTTGGCCGACCTCATGCAATCCTTGCTCTCTCCCCCGCTGAGTTTTTTTTCGGCATGTTTGCCGGCGGAGGAACCGCTCCCACATTCCGCCCGAGCTTCAGGGTTGTTCGAGGCCAGGGACAATTTCGCACTGATTTTGGCCCGCCGGTTGAGGGCCAAGACCCACAAGTTGACTCGCCGGCTTTTCAGGCGCATTCGCACGTTCATTCTTCCTAGCCGGTCTCGGGCCGGATCCCGCCGGCGGCGCCCCCGCGGTCCCGCCGCGGCTTGGACGCGAACCTGGGGATCGCCGCCACCCAGCGTTGAACTGCTGCTGATCACCATGCACGACTCCAACTTGACTCTTCCGGGTCCCCTGCGTTATGATCGCCATGCGTGCCTCACACTTTGACTTCCCTGGCGCCATGCACCGGGCGGTTTTAGCTTTTTTGGCAGCGTGCAGTCGCGGCGCGGCCCTTCCTGCGCGTCTGGGATACCCGACTGACCGCGACTTGTCCTGTGCCGCCGCAGGCAGCCGACAGCCATGAGGGTTGCAGCCCTGATCGCCATCCTGGCCCTTGCGGTGAGTGCCCACCCCGCGCACCCCTGCCCCTGCAGCTGCGCGGGCCCCGTCTTCTTGCGGCCCGTTTGCCTGTCCCATCGGCCTTGGACACCGCTGCGCTTGCCCGGCCCGCGGGCGCGGTGCTCGGCACCTGCAGGACAACCCCACCCCTCTCCCGCACGATGCTGAATCAGCACCCTGGCCCAAGAACTTTTTGTCTCGATGTTTCTTGAGTTTGATGATATGTGATGTTTCGTGATGTTCAATGATGTCGACGATGGTTAATTAATGCTGGTTATGATTCATGTACTATCCGGACGCCCTGCTGACGCGACCCGTGTGTTCACGGCTGCAGGCCGTCGCTGACGCGAGCCGCGAGGACGTCCTTGGCCGGAGGTCCCTCCTGCAGAGTATGTGCCCGCACCGCCATGGCGTCCAGTGCCCCTCTGGCGCCGCTCCCCCACTGCCACCCTCGTTTCCTGTTACCGAGTTGCGCTTGGGCACGCCAGTCCGCGCTTCGCCGCATGTCCCTGGCGCTGATGCTGTTCTCCATATATAGCGGATCAGGCCCATCCAAGGGCACCCCTGCCCTGTTTTGGGCCGCCCTTTCTGCCACATGCCACATGGTATCCCTCAGGCTCTCTGGCGTCACGACGAATCTGGCGTGCTGTCCCCCCGCGTGTGCTGTCTGGCGGGACGCGACGATTCCGCTGATTTGTGCTTCCCGCCCGCAAAGCGCTGCTCTTGCGGCACGTGCCTAGAGACATTAAATCGCTGCCAATCTTGCGGCGCGCGGCTGAGTGTGTGCGGGTGCCGGTGTGCGCAGGCTACAAGGGGCACAGCGATTACAAGGAGCCCAAGTACTGCAAGGACTGGAAGGACCACACCGACTGCCCGAAGGACCACGAGTGCGTGGCCCTCGACAAGAAGTTCTGCAAGTCCGAGCCCGACTGCCACAAGGACGCGTACGGCAAGGAGCAGTGCACATACAAACAAGGTAGGCCGATGGCCCCCCTTCTAGGGTTGGGAGTTGAAAATCTACATCATGCGACTGCCGAATATATGGGAGCGTTCTGTCGGTGCCTGCTGTCCGGCAGCCGCGCCCTTGCCCGCCGCACCTACTCGCCCATTGCTTCCGAGGTTTTAAAAGTGCTCGGCAGCCGATACACATTTTTAGTACCTTTCTCCGTGCACACAGCGCATGTCCCGTTCGGCTAACGGACGCCGGCTTGACTGTCGACAGCCGGTGTCAGCAGTTCAGGCCTCCCCTCTTCCCCCGGCCGCTGTCATTCCGTCGGCAAATGGCTACTGACGCTGCCATCTGGGCTCTCGGCTGACGTCCGTGTGCACTGGCTGTGGCAGTCTGCTGGGAATATCACTGCGTGGAGAAGCCCCGCCACTGCGACCCGTACGCCAAGTACGACGAGTGCGATAAGTACTACGACGAGAAGGAGCACGGCTATGAGTGGGAGTGCAAGAAGCTCGACAAGCCCGTGTGCACCTACAAGGACAAGTGCACGCCCTACAAAACCGACCGCTGCAAGGAGTACGGGTACGAGGACAAGTGCGAGTACGTGAAGGGCGGGTGCAAGACCTACGCGCAGAAGAAGGAGTGCAAGTACAGGGACGAGTGCTACAAGTACAAGCAGGAGAAGAAGTGCGACAAGGAGAAGGTGTGCAAGGAGTACAAGCAGATCACGACCTGCGTGGACAAATGCGACGGCTACGACGCCTACGGCAACTGCAACCGGTACGGCAAGGACTGCACATACAAGAAGGGCCCCTGCAAGGAATACGAGTACAAGGAGAAGGACTGCAAGTACGTGGACACCGACTACTGCATCCAGTACAAGAAGGTGGAACACGACTGCAAGTACGTCAACACGCACTGCAAGGAGTACAAGCAGGAGAAAAAGTGCCACAAGGTCAAGAAGGGGTGCAACAAGTACGAGTACAAGGACAAGTGCGAGAAGGTGGAGGACGTGTGCTGGAAGGGCAAGTGCGTGAAGAAGCCCCCGCCCCCCAAGTACCCTCCCCACAAGCCCGACCCAAAGCCAAGGTACCCTTCTCACTCACCCAAGTACAACGGGTACGGCAACGGGTACGACGACAGCAGGGGCTAGATTGTGGTTTGGGAAGCGAACCGGCCGGTGCGCACAGTAGTGCACTGGGGTCCACTATGCGACGGGCGCCCACTTCAGTCGGCTGCCCCGACAAGTGTTTGATCGACGGCGTGCGTCGACGGCGTGCGTCGAATGCAGGGATGAATGCTCAATAGCCTGGGATGTCATCCCCGATTGCGTTGAATGATTGGCAATTTATAGCTGTAATGGATGTTTAGGGTCGGTTGGGAGAAGGACGCAACTAAATTTTGGACGTATTGCGTTTGATTTGTACTTTTGGTTTGTATGTAATTAACGCCAACTTGGATTCGTTCCTTCGACTCTTGAGATTTGGGTGTCCATTCCGCCCAACCTGGCGGAGCCGAGAGTTGCCTCGAGCGCGGCAATGCGTAAGGGCTCCCGAGATGTTCATCCAGAACCCACCCCACTGGTGGCGCCTATCACACAATCTGTGATTGGCATGTTCCTCGCCGCCGATTATTAAGTTCGTCCTGGCATCGTGCCCACCCCACTGGTGGCGCCTATCACACAATCTGTGATTGGCATGTACCTCGCCGCCGATTATTAAGTTCGTCCTGGCATCGTGCCATGCTATTGTAAGGTCGACTCCCGCCTTGAAGAAATCTTTCAATTGCCAGTTTTCAGATGTCGCAAACCAAACGACGGAAAACGATCGCCTACCAGCACATTAGGTCCATCAGCTTGGAAATTAGGCCATTAACCCTCTGTGCATTATGTCTCCCAACGAGATCGGTGTGCAAACTTGCGCGACTGAAGGAGACCAAGGCTGGCAAAAACCCTTGCATTGGCTAGCAACAAATATCATCGTCTGCTGCCTGCTTCGGGGTGCATATGTTTTTCTCAGCTTGGTCATGCGAGGTGCACGCAAAAATCCACCTGGCCCCAGTCGGCGGCTTGCTCATCGCTCGGCCGTTGGCTCTTCGTCTCCTTTGCCCATTTCATCACTTTCTGTGTCTGTCACCGTCGCTTTTGGGGTTTGGGCGACCAGGAGATTGTCGACGCCGACCCTGAACCATACTACAGACTCCACTCCCAGGTTCCTGTGCATCTCCAGTTGTGTGACAAGCGCACTGACCCATCGTCAACATTTGATTCCGCGCCGTGATCTTTTGCTCCTCCGCGCTGGCATCCTCACCTGCTCAGAGGCCCACTGGCTTCTTGTACTGTGCTCTGTCCAGTCTCAGCAATGGCCCTTATCGCCAGCAGTCCCCCACATCATTTGCTCACAACAGCCAAGCATGTGGTGCCTTTTCAGCGGTTGCTGGCGCTGGCTCCCTCCGCTCCTCCCTTGTCAGAAAGCCTTGGGCATCTCCCCCAGGCCCCCGTATTTGTCCAAAAGTGTTGAAGCATCTATCCAACTGGGCTGTGGACCGGGTGCTCTTGCTGGCGACACGGCCACCCCATACCGTGCACCGTTCAGTTTCAGCAATCGCCACTACCTTCAGTCCCTTGCGTCGTGCATTCACCATCGCCGTTCTTCAATTCACGTAACCAGGCGCAGGGCGTAGCGGTCAGCTTCACATTTCGCCCGGCGAAGCAGTGTCCATTTGAGTTGTTCATTTGAAATCTAATGGTTTGTTCACTGAAACCCAATGCCTAGGACGAACATCATGTACTCACAATAGCCTGGATCTGGCATCTGGCGCAGAGACGAACATCATGTACTCACCATAGCCTGGATCTGGCATCTGGTGCTGAGCGTACATGTACTGGGGTTGTCGCTGCCGGCTCTCTCCTTCTCGCATACCCCCAAAATGTTTGCCCCCCCCCCCTTCCCCAGCCCATAAAAGAGTTCGGTGAACTTTTTTGGGGCACGAAGGGACGCATCTGTCCACCTGCCTTTGCAGCTGGTTGCTCTTGGAGTTGGACCATTCCAATGCCAAGGGCTCACCTGCGTGGGGTCCACCGCCCGCCACCCACCTACGCCCACGAGGGCGCACAGGTTTGGTGCCACGCCGCCGTTGGACGAGCAGCTGGAAGCGGCAATGGAGGACTTTGGGCTTTCTGCGTGGGCAGGAGGAACTGAAAGTGCATTGCGGAGACATTTGCTATTCTCTCACCGTCTGGCGAGTAGCCGAAGGCAGCAATGGCCTGGCATTTGGTGTCCCATCCCTTGGTCGAGCAGCTGATGGCGGCCTTGGGAGTACATCTGGCATCATCTCCTTTGGGGGGAGACAGCAATAGCATGACATTGGTGTTCTATCCCTTTGTAGAGCAGCTGATGGTAGCCTATGGAGGACAATTGGCATCATCTCCTTTGGGAGGGAAAGAGTTGAGGATAACCTAGGGGCAGCCAGTTGGTATCCTTTCCTTTCTGCGATGGATTGAAGGCGGCCCTGGGAGGACATTTGGTATTCTGTCCATTGGGCGAGTAGCTGAAAGCCTGGGGGGGACATTTGGCACCTTCCCTTGGCGGAGGCGTGCATGGCCAGTGGTGGCACCACTGTGGCCCTCCCCTTGGCTGCCTGTCTCGCGCGATGCCACCCCACCCACCGCACCTTGCACCACACCACCCCACGCACAGCCTGGGCGCAGCACACAAGCACCAGCACTGCTCAGCACCACCCCATCTGTTGGGTGCCCCCTCCCCCCCCCCTCTGCTGAATGGGCAATTGTTACCTCCCATCCGAGATTCCTTCAGCCCATACTCGGAGGGACCCGAAAATGGAATTCAATGCTGCGGATCTTGTCAGAAGTCTTGAACAAAACTGGGGGTTTCATCATTGGTGGCAGTCCTGGGACCAAGGGGGGCTGGAAATCAATAGCTGGTCGCCGCTGGCCTTCTGAGAGCCCACGCCCCCACTGAACGGGCGGTCGCTGCACCATATTCGAGATTCCATCAGTTCACACCTGAAGGGACCTCTCCCAAGGAACCGCGTTTGGGCCCCAGGCGCCTGAGCTGCCAGGGTAGCGACCGCGCCCTGCTCTCTGCGGCGCCATCGCGAAGTTTCGGGGCCACTGCGCGGGACCCATGCACCCCTGAGGACTGCAACCTCGCTGCGCATGATTCAAAGCACCCCCATGCCCACCCCCACCCCACCGTTTTCACAATAGCAGAAGAGTCTCACGTGCACTTGCTTAGGAGGTGGGAGCCTCTGTGACCACCTGCTCTTTCTCTCTGTGACAAAGATTGCCTACCTCGCCCACCCAAAAGGCATCTGCCCCTCACAAGCAATGGACTGCAGCTTCTTGAGTGCATGGGCCCTTCAGTCAGCCGAATTGGCGGGACAGTCATTCGGGGGAGAGCGGTGCGCACGTGGTCTACTCTCCGCTTGTCCCGTGCTGTACTGTCCACAAGAGACTGTGGAGCAGAGTGTAGAGCACGGGACACGTAGAGAGCAGACAAGAGACGGTAGAGCAAGAAGTAGAGCACGGGACAAGTGGAGAGTACGAGTGGAGAATGGAGAGCAGAGCGTGGTGGAGCGCCCGGATGTGCGCGCACGGCGCCCCTGAATCCGGTCGTTCTGAAGTGCACCTTCTGGTCAAGGGCACTGAAAACAAGAGCAAGGAGGCCCCCGTCGCGGCCCTGAGAACCGGACAACAACGGACCGCGTAGTCCCACCACACCACATACCCGGCTCGCCCATTCGACCACAAGGGACTGGGTGGTCCCGCCAAACCGCGAGCCAGCTTGCTTGTAAATCGACGGGTGAATATGGCATTGCCGTGCCCAGGAAGCCACTAGACAGAACCATCCGTCCCCATGCACTGGGCCCATGGCCACAGGCCCGCTGGATTCTGTGGCAGGGACCTGGTGGCTTGCCTCAGCTAAAACCGCCGGTGGCGATTGCTCGCCTACGCCGGAGGGCCCACTTTTCGCTGTTCGATCGGTTCCCCTGACGGCCTCCTGCACGGGCCCCACGGCCAGGAGGACGCCACCACGATCGGTGGCGCAAAGTCACCTGCGCTCACGTTGGCGCCAGTGCCGGGAACCAGCCAACCCAAACGGGCTGGCTGGGTAGTGAGAATGGGTTTCCAACCGACGGCGACGATCGGCGCACAAGGGTATTCGAGCGGTGGCCGCACGCTACGGTTGGCGGTCTGTGCGGGGCCCGCGCTGGCCTGCGCCTGGACGGGCGGTGGCTCGCACTGGCGGGGCTGGGAGGCCCGCGACTTAGGGGCCCGACGTGGCGGGGAAGCGGGGTCCAGTGGTGCCAAATCACGTGTACACAATGACCTAACCTCAGTTTTAGGGTTAAGTTTAGATTTAGGTTTAGGATGAATTTCAGGGTTTGGGTAACGGTAGGTTTAGGATTAGTTTTTAGGTTTGAGGGTTTAGGTCAAGTAGTTTTGGAGGGATTTGGTGCAAGCAGTCGCCGATTTAGTGCAGAAAGTCACCGATTTGCTGCAGCGAGCAATTGTATGCGGGCTAGTGGAGCAGAATGCTGGGGCAGAATGGTGATGACTGGACAATCACTGGAGGGTCTGTGCATTGCGTACCACCTAATGGGAACATCCGTGAGCTGCACTTTACGCCAGGGGCGGAGTTGGTTCTTGATGAAGGGGGGCTGTAGGCATGAGTGAACGGCAACGGTTCACGACTGAGCGGAGTGTCTCTTGGGGCTCGGCCCCGTAAATACAAGGTCACACAATGTGATTGACTCAATTACCGCCACATCAGCTATTTTGAGGATGATGGGCTCATGAAAGGAGCAATCAGTGCATTGTGCGCCAACAGCAACGAGCGTTCCTTTGTTGTGCCTTGTACCATGTGCGAAATGCACAGTTCTCTCTCGAGTACGTTCCAGGGGTGCGATCTGCGGGATCTTGACCCACGATTGCTATTTTGCCTTTTTCTTAGCGGATAGGCATCTGTGTTTTCAAGGAAAGAGGCATTTCTGTCATTCAGGCCCCGGATTCCAAACATTCTAAGTGCCCTCAAGAAAATCCTCAATCGATTGTGCTTACTTCTTTGACTTACTATGATTAGTTACTAAACTGTTGTATTCGGTTTTAATTTATGGTGTTATCTTTTGAGA